TTTCCTGTACTGACTCAGGATTTGAGTCTTTCCTGTACTGACTCAGGATTTGAGACTTTCCTGCACTGACTCAGGATTTGAGACTTTCCTGTACTGACTCAGGATTTGAGTCTTTCCTGTACTGACTCAGGATTTGAGACTTTCCTTTATTGACTCGGGACTTCACTTGAGACTTGCCGGTACCGACTCAGGCCTTAACTAAAGACATTCCTTTACTGACTCAGGATGTGAGCCTTGTCTGTACTGACTCAGGACTTGAGACTTGTCTGTACTGACTCAGGACTTGAGACTTTGCTTTACTGACTCAGGATTTGAGACTTTCCTGTACTGACTCAGGATTTGAGACTTGCCTGTATTGCCTCAAGACTTGAGACTTGTCTGTACTGACTCAGGACTTGACTTGAGATGCGCTTGTAGTAACTCGGGACTTGACTTGATACTTTCATGTACTGACTCAGGACTTGAGACTCACCTGTACTGACTCAGGACTTTAGACTCACCTATACTGACTCAGGACTTTAGACTTGCCTGTACTGACTCAGGACTTAAGAATTGCCTGTACTGACTCAGGACGTAAGACTTGCCTGTACTGACTCAGGACTTTAGACTTGCCTGTACTGACTCAGGACGTAAGACTTGCCTGTACTGACTCAGGATGTAAGACTTGCCTGTACTGACTCAGGACGTAAGACTTGCCTGTACTGACTCAGGACGTAAGACTTGCCTGTACTGACTCAGGACTTTACTTGAGACTCGCTTGTAGTAACTCAGGACTTGACTTGAAACTATCATGTACTGACTCAGGACTTGAGACTCACCTGTACTGACTCAGGACTTTAGACTCACCTTTACTGACTCAGGACTTTAGACTCGCCTGTACTGACTCAGGACGTAAGACTTGTCTGTACTGACTCAGGACTCAGTGTGTGTTTTGAAGGTGGTGTTCTCTCAGTATCAGAGAGCCTGTGGAGGCTGTGTCTTTGTTTTTCCTGAACTTACCGAGCTCTTTCCTCATTTTCTCTGACTCTGACTCAGTCCCTCAGTGACAATCTCAGCTTTATTCTCTTTTTACTGCCGAATAAATCTGAAACAGTTTGCATTTGCAAAAGAAAGACCACCCCTTTGAAATGCAGATGGGGGAAAAAACTCTAAAACAGTTGAGAAATGTTTTCTGTTCTTGCGGCTGTATTTGTTTAATTACCCTCAGTGCTCTTACCTCGTTCTGCTTTCTGGCTCAAAATAAATCCATTAACTGTGATTTGCTTCTGCTGACCCGAGCCAGGCTTTATTCCTAAGATCATGTCACATTAAAAAGATTTGGTTTTCAAATAAAAGAATAAAAAAATAAAAAAATAAATAAATAAAAATTAAGGGTTCTTGTTGGAGTCGAACTTGGGCATCATTTAAAAATGAAGATGTGTCTTGATTAGGTAAGAGTGACGAATTAGCATAGAAGCTAAGAATAACATTCAGTATCAGTTTATTTGAATAGTCCACTGTAGATGCTTTGATGATTCAACATTCAAATAAACAATAAACATCCTGATTGCTTGGTAAAGAGTTAGGTAGCCAGTTAACATAATAATATTTATTCTTGCAATTACTAATTTACATCTTACCCAACCAGAAGCTCAGTTATTAGGGCTGGGAGTTGATCCCAAAGACTCAAATCTCCAATTCCAGATTTTCAGGGACTTTATTAAACAATGTTTACCTAAAAAAATACATTCTTCCACAACACATACATCAGTAAATTCTTTGTATTTTATTTGTATTATATTTTATAGATTATAGTATTATATTAGAGCTGCAAAGCATAAACCCCTCATTATAAAGACGAATGACCATCTGAGAGGTCAGTGGTGTAAAAACCATCAGCACTGGTCTACAGAGGTGTGGAAAAAATCATCTGGTCAGATGCATCATCCTTCACCATGTTCTCCACAGGTGGGGGAGTGGATGTGCAGCATACATTAACCCCTTAAAATCCCTGTCTTATTACATACTAAGGCTTCTTATTCAGTAACTACAGGGACTTCAATGCAAACTGGTTGAGCCTCTTAGGTTATAGAAGTGTGTATAAAACATTGGGCTCTAAGCAGTTAAGCAAGGGTTGTATGTTGACATCATGATTTCTTTGTGAAAAAAAACTTAGCCAGCTAACATTATTAATATTTCAATATTGCAATTACTAATTTACATCTTACCCAACCAGAAATTCACTGGGAGTTGATCCCAAGACTCAAATCTCCAATTCCAGATTTTCAGGCATTGAGCTTTGGGCTTGATTAGGTCAGTAAATTGTACATACATACATCAGTAAATTGTTTGTATTCTATTTTAAACAAAGTAGAAAATAAATGTGCAATTTGTTACAAAATAGTGTCTCACAGTCAATATTTTCATATATCATGGTAAAAACAAAAGTCTTTCAGAAATCACTGTTAAGCAGGAGCGGTCATGCGTGCACAAAGGGCAGATTTTGCCTCTTCTCTTGAGTGGTCGCAGAAACATCCAGCTTTGCTGGACGTGATCAAAGCATCATTATTTTTCCGGTAATGTACAAGCTTCTGTTCACTTGAGCTCTCAGTGTAATTTTACAGGTATCATGCTGGTCAGACAGATGACGGCAAGCCAGATATTCCATTGTTTTCAGCAGAGCCGCAATGGAAAATTCTGCCACCGCAGTCAGGAGTATCGTTTTCCTGTCTTTTGCCGTCGACCGCAGCGGTGGAATAAACTGAATGTTGATTTTTTTGGGAGCCATGGATGCTAAATGTATTGTTGTTGAACTCCAGATGAACCCAGTATTATACAATAAAAAAAAAATAAATGAATACAGAGCGTCCTCCTGGTTTTTTTCACCTTAAATAAACAATCTACTCTGCTAAAGCTCTACTCTGACAATCAGCTATTTTCACCAGTAACGCTGTCACCATGCCAACGATTGCATGGCTTCATGCTGCTGTCGGCCACAAACAGCTATGAAGTGTGAAATTACTGTTTTTTTTTTTCAACGCAAATATGTGAACACATCATGAGGTCTTATTCAGGTAAATTGCTGCTTCAGTCTTTCCATCATTTCAACTCTGGCTTGCCTTCACAGTGGCCCCCAAGTTCCTGTGCAGATGTGCACGTGTGAATCGGGAAAATAATTAAGTGGAATCGACTCTTGGAATCAACTCCAGCTGCTCATATCAACTTGTAAATGCAATCGATTCCTGAATTTCTGGATTCAAAGAGCCATATTGCAGCATTTATTTATGATAGTAGGCAGTCAGCGGCACGTTCTGTCATTATCTGTGATGGTGGAATAAACTGGATGTTAATTTGAGAGCCATGGACACCGAACAACCAGGCCCACACAGTATTATTTAAGTTACCCTTCATTAACCCATCCGTGCAGTGAAACACCCACATGCACTAGTGACTGCACACACCAGGGGCCAGTGAGCACACTTGCCCGGAGCGGTGGGCAGCCCTATCCACAGTGCTCGGGGAGCAGTTGGGGGTAAGGTGTCTTGCTCAAGGGCACTTCAGTCAGGGGATTGAGCTGGCGACCTTCCGGTCACAAGGCTGGTTCCCAAATCTCCAGCCCATGACTGCCCCCTCAATTTAACAAAACATTCAAACAGAGCGTAGCACTGAGCACCTCCTGCCTTTTTCCGTCTTAAATAAACATCTGACGCTGCTTCAGTTCTTCTCTGATGATCCACTTTTACAGGTAATGCTGCCACCATGGCAGTGTTTCCTTCACTGCATGCTGCCATCAGTTTTAGACCACTAAGAGGCATGATTTTGTTTTTTTAACACTCTGTAAACACAGAATTACAGTTATGCTGTTCAAGGAACAACAAAGGATTCAATAAGACAATCCATACACCACAACCTCATCATTAGGGGGTGCATTTCAGACCCCACAACAATTTGATTACATTTCTTTAGGAAACTATTTTGTGCATCTTAAAGTCTCAAATTTCACTACAAGTCAGTTTGATTATAGTTATTTTTAAAAATACCCTGAACTGGAGGAACTATTTACACAGGTGGAAAGTATAAACAAGATCAATGCACCAAGCCTTTGTATTTGGACTTCAAAGTGACCCAAGAAATTTCTTTTAGCCAAAAAAGTTACTTAATTATAGGGGTGTCGGAAAAAATCGATTCTTAGATGCATCGCGATGCGGACGTGGACGATTCTGAATCGATTCACAAATGTCAAAAATCGTCTCCCAATGTTCGTCTGTCTTTCTCTTTTCCTTTTTCGTTCGCTACTAGGCAGGCAAAACCTCGTTGCTACGTGACCTGCAGTCTTTTTATTTCACCGTAACAGCGCATTTTATCACAGATGAGCGGCAGCAGTGTCTCCAAACAAGAGCAGTGGATGAGAGCCTTCCAGTTCACTTGCCACATCACTTCCATTTGTTTTATTGATAAAAGATATTGGAGGTAAATGCATTATGGATCATTACAAATACTTTGTTTTAAAATACCAAGTCCTCACACAGTAAGAAAATAGAAATCATGTATAGAAAAAAAAGATGCATCGAGATGCACCGATAATCGTTTTATAATCGCATCGTGAGGTGCCTAAAGATTCCCACCCCTGCTTAATTAATGCTAATGTTACTATAGTAGCGCAGTGGGCAGCACGGTTGCCTCACAGAAAGAAGGGCCTGGGTTCGATTCCCTGGCCGGGCAGTCAGGATCTTCCCCCTGTCTGCGTGGGTTTCCTCTGGGTACTCCAGTTTCCTCCTACAGTCAAAAGACATGTGGTCAGGCAAACTGGATATGCTAAATTACCCCTCAGTGTGGATGTGTATGTCTGGGTGTCCACCCTGCGATGGACAGGCAACCTGTCCAGGGTGTGTCCTGCCTTCTGCCCAATTAGCCCTGGGATAGGCCCCTGCAAACCAGAAGGATAAGCGGCGTAGAAGATGGATGGATGGATGGAATTACCATGCAATTTTATTAATTATCTTCCCTCTCTCTGTCTGTAGGGTGGAGCCTGGCTGGCAGAGGGTGGTGCAGGTGGATCTAGAGATGGACGTCACTGTGGATATGGTGGGCAGTGGATCGATATCCTGGATGGTGGAGTATCCTGGCATCAGAGCAGGTTCAGAAGAGACGGAGACCCAAATCCACATCATCCAGAAGGAGCTGGCTGGACTCATCCCGCTGGCCATGGTGAGTCCAGTGCTGACCCTTCCTATATTATCTTGTGTATTGTACACATGCTAACAGTATATCAATCTCACTAGCCAGCCAAGTTACTGGAGTTAGCTTCAAGAGTGGACGCTAACGGTAGATCATCATTTAGAATGGTCAGGTTGTCTTGATCATACACATGACTGACCATCACATTCAAATCCACACACACGTGTAAGTGCTAATTACAGTCAAAAGCCACCATATCCAGAACGTCTTTGGTGTTATTGTGAAGGAGGTTCCCTCGGTGAGTGTTTGTGTGTATTGCTGCAGCATCTCTTGATTCCTTCACCTCAACCAGCCACTTAATGGAGAAATCAATCTGGATATTTAGTCTCTAATGGGAATTTATGTGGAGGGAAGTATTAACAACCACTTTGAACAGACATGAAAATCTGTCATAATTAAACAGCCGTTAGATTAATCTCCTCAAGCCACTTTAACACAATTGCTAGTTATGAGAGGCTTGTTGTAGAAGATAAATCATCTGTTTTGGTGTAATATATCAGATTATGATCAAGAGCTTATTGGTTTACCAACACACATACACATGTGCACGCATATGTTCTTCTCATTGCTCATTAACCCCTTGAAATCCCAGGCTTATTACATACTAAGGCTTATTATTCAGTAACTACAGGGACTTTAATGCAAACTGGCTGAGCTATTCTTAGGTTATAGAAGTGTGTAATAAAACTTTGGGCCTATTTTTGGGCCATTTAAGGGGTTAAAGGCTGTTATTAATCATTAATGGGGTAAAGTTTTTGCCCATTTAAGGTAACTGAATTGCTTCACCACACCTCGGTTCTCCCTGATAATACATTCTGTTGTTTTACCCTTTCTGCCTTGTAAATGCACTATAATTTATCTACGCATATAAATTATGAACTAGGGGTGCGGGAAAAAAATCGATTCTTAGATGCATCGCGATGTGGACGTGAACGATTCTGAATCGATTCACAAATGTCAAAAATCGATTTTCTAAATATTTAATTTATAACGTAATGTTGACGGAACGCAAAAGGCGGAACTTGGAAGTGGGTAAGTGCAGCGCCCGGACAGTCTGTGGCGGCACATAACAAAAACACTACTGGATGAGTGAGAAATCCGACCGGCTCCCTCTGCATTAAAGCCAGGTTAGGTCAGGAGTCACAACACAAATGATAAGAAGAGCCATTTTGTCCTTTCAACAAAAATCAAACCACCTTGGGAGCCACAACATTTAATGTCCAGTATGTGTTAATGTCCTATTATAAACCAAACAATATAAACGAAAACGCGGACATACTCTACTCTGCTTTAAGCTTTAGCCATACCCGCTTTCCTCCCATCTCTGCCAGAAAACTTTTCCTCAAAAGTAGAGCAGCTTATTGTAAAATGTCTCAGCGTTCAACTGTTTTACGAGGCTGAAGTCGCTTTTTATTCTCCAGCTTCTTGTTCGAATTTACCCGTTCCACCTTAAATTCTGACTGAGGCGCCGAATGTAAATGCGGCACCATTTAAGGTGGAACGGGACAATTCAAAAGAGAAACAGACTTCATCTTTGCAACTTTTTAGTGTTTGACAGTCTCGTTGCCAATTTAACGTACCAGGAAACCAACTGCGCTGCTTATAAATGCGAATAACGCGTCGTTTATAAGTGACCTGCAGTCTGCGGAGTCGTTGCGAAACCGGGCTTTCTCGCTATGTTGCACACGCCCCGTCTCGAAGATATTTCACTGACACAGCGACCCCCACCCCCCCGCTTCCCGTCTCTACAACCAAAACCAAAACCGAAGTGATAAAATCACTAAAGAAAACGGGTAGTTTTCTTGTAGCCTTCTAGTTCACTTGCCACATCACTTCCATTTGACTTATTAATAAAAGATATTGGAAGTAAATTCATTATGGATCATTACAAATACTTTGCTTTAACATTACCAAGTCCTCAGACAGTAAGAAAATAGAAATGCTGTATAGAAAAATAAGATGCATCGATAATCGTTTTATAATCGCATCGCAGCCCTCTGAATCATAATACTATCTTTGGAGTTAAAGAGCTTTCCGGCCTAATTAGTATATACATATATAATTTATTCATAATTTTTTGTCATGTTATGTATTTTGTAGCACAAAATTGTATCAGAATTTGAAATTTTATATTATTTTTATTCTCTTACTACAAAACCCTGCCGTGCATGCCATGCTTAAATATATTACACAACCATTGGGAATCCCTGTGGTGTCAACCAATCCTGACTGCTAGCCTAGCCACTGATCTATAGGCTACTAAGTCCTTCCACCTTCAAGATACATCATCAGAAGGGGGTTTTCTAGTCTTTAAACTGAAAACTCCAGCTCTAGCGATGACTGCAGCACCACTGAAGGTGAGTAAACATGTTTACAACAGATGACCCAATGGGTCGCCCACAGTGGCCTTTTAACTGTTATTTATGCACGGCATTGGCATTGTTAATGCTTTCACTACAATTCCCATGATGCAGTGGTGCAGTCACCCACTTGACTGTCCTTGCATCTCATCTGCGACTCAACCTGGCGATTTAAAGTCCTTAACATTTGCAGTTCAGCGCTTTAGCTCATCCTGTCACACTCCACTATTATTTGGCAGAGGATCTGGCGCTGTTAGACCACGATTCCCACGATGCACTGCCATTTGCTTCTTGTCTGTCCTCTCTCTAATTGTTTGGCTCGTGCCTGTGGTGGCTGCAATCTGATGGGAGTTTTTCTGGCTGGTGTTAGACTCTAGTTGACGCCACTTTAATGGAGACTGAGTGGTTTGGCTATAGCTGAGCTCCAGGCGGACTCTCCAGAGCGGAGAGCGGGTCATAAATGCCCAGACATGAAGCTCTGGGACACCATGAAGACAGCTGTTCCTTCAACTGGCTGGCTTCAACCAGTGTGCTGGAATTGCATCTCCATAGCTACACAGGGGAGCAGTGCTGTTACCGCAGTATATGTGTGTAGAGTGTTGGACTGACAAGTACATTAGATTTAAACTGATGTTAAGTTTCTTGGCTGATAATGTCTGAATATTAACTCAGGCTGATACTAATATTATTAACTGACAGCTTTAATGTTTGTTTTGCTTTTTAAGCCAAGCAAACACTATAATCCATATATGAAATGGAGTGAGTGTAAGAAAAACGATGAACGATTGGATGTTTTTCCACCACACATTCAAAAACTAGAATTGATCCAAACAAGAACCAATGGAATGGAAGTTTCTAGTTCTGCTTCATTTGAACCTGTTTGAGACAGCTGGAACCATCATAACAACTGCAGCTGACAAAAAGATTGTATTTTTGGTCATTTTATGTTACTCTAAAGCATCCAAAGTGGCTAAGCTACCGCTTACAAGTTAACTTACTGGCTGATGTGAACCGATAATCTGCAATGTTCTGCAGAAATGTCTGCAATTACACAGAATCATTTGTAGAATCAAGCAACGTTCATGTTTTTCTCTCTTGAGTGTAAACATATATTCTGTTGAGACTAGCATAAATGGTTATCGCATTAGCATTAACATCCTAACTAGATTATATCAACTTAGCCAACTCTACAAAGTAATAATTCTTAAATTAGAAATTATAAAAAAGGATAGTTCTGGCCCTAAAATCTGATTGGCTGAGCTGTGTTCAACGCCGTTGTAAAATTCATGATATACGCACGCCTATGACCACCTAACAGCAGCTGAACTCTGTATCACTGTGCCACGGCACAAAAAAACCCTTGTGCTGTTCATGTAATGATCTTTGACTCTCATGCTGATCACACGGACCACTGAGTATATTGATGAAGTAAGAACCCGGTTCTGTTTAAACTGAGGGGCTGGCGACTTATGTTCTTAACTAGAACTAGGCTGGGCAGCAAGCTAACAGGCTAAAAGAGCCAACAGCCTAAACAACTCCATCATTAATATCACACGCTTGAATTAAAGTACTTACGGTTTGATTAACTGTAAAACGGCAGTATAAACGTCTAAAAATGTCACTTGAAATGTCCGTGTTTCAGTCAGAAGTCACGTCAAACCCAGGCTAAATCTCAAACGGCCCCGTACTCCCTAAATAGTGTTCTAGCTATGAAAGTTTAGAAATTCTAGCTTCTACAGCCAAACAGTGCATCATTTATCGAGTGCATCTGAGTCCCAAATGACTATTTTTTGGCTATATTATGCCCTGCTGAGATGCAGCATCCAGTATTTAAACGTAGTGCACTATGTAGGGAGCAGGGAGCCATTTGAGATTCTGCCCAAGTGGGAGAAGAGGGCGAGGCTGGATTGGTGCTAAAAAAGAGTAGCGGTGGTAATTTGGTGACCAAAAAGTAATTATAAAGTGAAAGTTTGTGCATTAAACAGTGCTGTGTTATCATGTGTTTATTTTTTATATGACAAAAAGTTAAAAGGAACTACATTTTGTGGCGGAATACATGTTTATGTTGATTATTATTAATAATAATGTAAATTATTTTCTGAAAAATTGTGTAGTGTATCATATTTTATGTTGGCCACCATTTTATCAAAGCAATAAGCCACTGCGATTTTATTACAGGGCAGGGAGTTTTAGGTGCCTAGGAACACCCTTCTCATTACAAAAATGCAGTAATGCATGGCCTCTCGGGTCGTATTGCTTTATTAACACATGAACATATCAGTCTAGTTTAGATTCCAGTGCTCTTGTTTGTGATGTAATAGTACTTTTTGATTTCATCTCTACACCTGGAAGTGTAAATAAGTTTCAAGAGAGTAGAACACCCTCGAGTGCTTTTAGGTCCTGTTGATACCAATCTTGAAACCATAAAACTGGAAACTTTGATACTGGACTGATAGCCGATTTACAAAGCACAGTGTCCTAAGCAGAAATCAAGTAAAAAGATTAAATGAAAAAAAGCGTCTCCAAAATGGTAACTTTCCCATTTCTATTGGTCAGTTTATCATGAAAATCTGATATGATTTAAAAAGCTGAAGCACTCAAATGATGCAC